AAGTTTATTTAATGAAGATTTTGATTTAGTGATATTTAAAATAGTTATGATAATAATACTATGGCCAGTGAAGATTCTAATAATGAGCAAGATAAAGTCAATAATAATATTAACTCAAAAAACTTAAACATAAACGTCTTGCCAAAAAAAATTTAAAATAGAATCCAAATTAGAAAAAAACTTATCTATGAGTTGATTTAGTAATAAAACAAAATAACAAGAATATGATTTGTATATGGTATACTGATACAAAATATAACAATATTTTTGTAACTGGTACAGAATATTTTAAAAAGCAGTATCTTCAATGGCATATGGAGTAAATTGATCATAAAAAGGTTGTATATACTCATAGTAAAGGTCAAGTTAGTATTATAACTATTATATTGTGATATACTACATTTGACTATTTACAAACAATAAGAAAAATGATAAATATTTATTTTCTTATAAAGCATAATCTTGTTACACATATATTTGAAGATTTATACCATCTCGTTGAGTTGCAAATTCAAAATACCAATGATAATATTTTACTAGATGGTACAAGTCTTTTAAATTTATCTGTATTAATAACTACAACTCAATCTAGTCATAGTGAATATGGTTTATATATTAATAACTATGCTAGCAAACAATTTATTGCTACAATTGCATGTATTATTGAAGAAACTATACTGAATGAATTACAAACATCTGTAGCATAGAGTCTTATGATCAATAAAAGCAATACGATTACTAATGAAAAAAATCTTGCTATTTTTTCAAGACATATATTACATAATATACCTATATTTCATTATTTAGATATTATTAAACTTTAAAATACTTCATTAAATACAATTTTAAAGACTTGGATCAATTTATTATCACTAAACATCTACAACTAGAAAAGCTTTACCACTTTGGAAGTGATGGTGCAAGTATTAATTTAGGCAAATATTATTTTAACAATCTATTTAAATTATATTAGCTTATTAGTAGAAGGTTTCAAAATTAATATCTGAAAAGTTTATTTTATTTTTCTGATTTATAAGTCAACTTAGTAAAAATACTACAAGTTACTCTTGTTATAATAAAGTAATCAGGCAAAGAAATCTTACTATATTAAAAGCTTACTATAACAAGAGTGACTTGTATTCAAAAAGTTTTATTTAATTTTAAATTTGTTATTTATTTATTAATTTTAAAACCCCTTAATTATCAATTTAGAACATGTAAATAGAATAACAATACAGTTAAAAACTTATCTTCTATTTCTTACTGAATATCATTGTATAAGTCACCGTTTAGCACTTGCTTCTAAAGATACAACAGAACAAACTCCATATTTTGAAACTTATAATAAAATTATTTAACAATTTATAGTTATTTTAGCTAATTATATTCACGACTTCAAACTTTGCAAATGATTCAAAATCATTTAAATGAGCCTAATTTAGATATCTTGCTAGATGGCTTTCTAATCTTTATCAGATTATTAATTTAGTAATTAGTGCATTATTGGAAGATTTATAAAAAGGTCAAAAAACTACTCAATGGCTTTATGAATATATTGATCAAGATTTTTTAATTGCAATACATTTTTTAGCAAATATACTTTCACAACTTTGTAGGCTTTCTTTAGTCTTTTAAGCAGATTATGTTTCAGTTTCAGAGGTTACTATACAAGTAGATGCAATTATTGAATCTTCACTGGCCATAGTATTATTATCATAACTATTTTAAATATCACTAAATCAAAATCTTCATTAAATAAACTT